TCAGCAAAGAGATTAATTTTTCCGGATATCGTGGACGGTCGAGCTGTGTCATCAACACAAAACATTCCATACATAACGGAAATAAAAAATGTTTGGCTCGAATACGCGATACCGCTGCTAACATCAGAAAATCAATTTCCAGTTCAGCTATCGTCAATAATTCATGGAATCGTGATTCAGCAAAATCCAAACTGCCGTCTCACAAATACCGCATATATGACCTTCGTAGCATCGAAGCTAAATTTCTTGTAATACCTGAGTTATGAATTCCGTCAACGTGTAGAAGTTTGCGGCGTACATATAAGCAATGCGCCGTCGTAATAAATCATCGGCGTGAATCGATATAAAAACCGAGAAAAACCTGTCTATCTCATTCGAATTACGTATAAGTATGCAGTTTATCACCGTTGCGCCGTTTCCTATTTTGCTGGTACAAGTAATACGAGCAGAATATCTCACACAAGTGTAATATATTTTATCTAGCTACAATATATTTCTCGGTAGAATTTCAAACTCTCGCGATTCCGCCAGATGGAGGCTGAAAATGAGAGATGAGATCGTTGCAATGTACGCACATTATATTGGAAGATAGGTATATCAGTTTTTAAATATGATTACGTACAAAAAGGTAGGCAGAAAAATTCTTCAAGAATCTCACATTGTTTCATGGCCTCTCGTTATTTAAATACGGGAATATAAATGCTGTACATACGTATACGTACATGCAGTGAGCGTTTATATTTAATTTTTGGATCGAAGCGCGCATTTGCGCAAATCATTGAAATATGTATGTAACAAATGTCTGCAATGCTGTAAAACGTTATCGCCCGTGGCACGCATTAACGCGAAAGTTAAATCGAGCGAAACATATGCGACATCGCCATTATTATCGTTATTTCTAGGATTGTGTAAACATGAATGCAAGTGTGCCGGATAATGCAATAATTTTTGTAAACTCACTAAAATCCCGGCTATGCATGTGCATTGCATAATATTGTGTAAATTAAACCATCCCATACAAACGTACCGCATGCATTATTACACTATTATGTTTCTGCGATAATGCATTTTCTACACATGCATTTTAAAAGAAATGCATTTCAGAGTTAATTTTTTTTTATAACAATTTTACTAGTAATTTAATCATTTATATATCTGTTTATTTTGCTATTTAATTTACTTTTTCCTCATTTATATATTTCATCTTATTTATCTTGGATTAATTAATTGGTACTTTATAGAGAAATGGATTAATATCGTTGAAAATACATAATTAGTGTAATTTTGAGATCAAAGCGATAAGTTTTAAAGTCTTTTTAAAAAAAAAAATGTTTTCTTTTGAATGTGACGAACGGTATAAAAATGCTGAAAGCGGAACTGCAATCGTATAACACATTGTCCGAAAGTTATTTTGCGGTGAGAATAAAAACTTGAACGACGACAGACACGAGACAGATATTACAGCGACGTTTTTCCCTTTAAAGTCCTCTAGTCGAATTAATGATAGAAGTTTTCCGGAAGTAATAATGGTACCATGGGTACTTTATTTAGTCCTGATATCGAGCATCGATTGGAGGTTCCATAGACCTCGAAATAAGAGTAATGCTATACATTATATCCGGATGTCCACTTTTATTGAGTTCCAGAGAGTTCGAAAACGCTGGAAATAAGCCGATAATTGATGATAAAGATCGAGATTTTTTTGTATACGGATTAATTGCAGTACACGTGTGAATTATCTCTTCAGAAAGTATCACATGTTATTTTAAATGGGAAAATATTTAATTTTGATTAATTAATCATCTATTAGCCGGTAATTCCATATCCATCGGTAATTACAAATGGCACATGTATATCGCGTAGAGAGTAATATAATACCATAAATGTTACGCGAAAGTAGATAATTAATATGTCGACGAAGTGTACTCTGGGCAAACATTTAATATTCAACTATATTAAACTATATTAAAGTTACTATCACCACTATTTAGACATGGTGATTCAATAGATGTCTGAATATATATAGTATGTATATACCTGTATAGCGGTGACGGGATAGTGTTTCGGAGATGATTGATAAGTCAGGAGAGAATATACTTGGAGAAATTTGACAACGTTGTTGCATATAGCGCTTAAATCCGATAATCCAATTTGCCGTGACCCATGTTCACGTATTCGTTGTGCCAGCATCCCTCTGATTTATTTATAAACAGCTTAAATTTAAAGCGGATTGATTTTACAAAAGTTTTTATAACGTTATACGAATACCAATGTGCGTTCTATAAAATAACGTTATATAAAAAGGATATTAATGCCTTTTTCTTGTATTGCTTTTCCGATTTACTAATGTTGAATATTTTCTGCGTTCGCTACCCTTGAGCGAGCGATCCGGATGAGAGGGTCGTTAACTCGCGTTGGCACGGAAGAGACTAGACAGGACTCTTATCTACGGATGCTGGGCACCGATCCAGTCGTTCTAGACAGGGGGGAGTCGACCCTAATATATGGTTCGATAAAGTTTTCTTTGCTTTCACAAACTTTTATTCAATATTTGTCAGTAAATTCTTTCGTTTAAAAAACACTGTACTTATTCTGCGAACATTTATTTTTTTTCCCTTTTTTTCACATAATATCGATATCGCTGACAATGGATGTTGAAGCGCGAGAATTTGCAAAATCGGATAATACGCGATAAAAAGCCATCTCGTAAAAACGTACACAAAGAATTCTATAGTTTGGAAAGAGAAACGTACGCCAGTCCAGTTTCTATGCCGTTGGCTTTTGAATACGATTTGAATACGAATTTGAGAACGATTCACAACAGAGCATAGACTACAAGTAGACGTGAGGTTATGCATATAACGTTAGCATATTTATTATCTGACATCGCTGTTATTTCTTTAAACTTGTGCAATTTTTTTTATTTGTAATATAACGCCTTTTCACAAATGCCATTATACAAATATCACAAATTGCTATTACAGTTGACGCACTTTTTAGTTTAATCTCAAAAAGTAAATTATATCAAATAAATATATAACTTTATTAGTTTAAATATTCAACTCTAAATTCTTCATGTATGGGTAATTTTTATTGGCTTTCTGTTATAACGTTTGATAACATATATTATACATCTGATAAATGTTAAATGGAGTGTACATTTTCTAGTGAGATCACAACATTAATTGCACATAATTAAATGCAATTTATGTGTATTGAGAACAACAGGTGTCGCGCTTGTACGACAAATTAATTGAGAATAATGAATTACCTTGTCGAATACATGGATTCTGTATGTACCATGCTAAAAACAATATCAAAATTTAAAATTCAAAATTAATATAATAACAAATAATATTATATACTGCTACGATAAATATTAAATTCGCAAGAATTATTAACTTAAATGATTAGCATACATTTTTTCTTATTCCACATATATTTTCATCTTCAATATATATATATATATGTATACATTAATAAAATATGAAGAGACTCATTTCGTATAAATAGCCTTTCCTGAAGCTTCGCAAACTCTGGCTCCTCTCTACATACGCAGATACTACCACAAGAGAAAAGCCAGATTTTGCAGTGGCAAAACTTTGGTCTATCTCGCCGACAAGCCATCTTTGTTCATTGTTCTATCGGCACTTTGATAGGGCAAAAAGGGGAGCGGAAAGTAGAGGTGGTTCGGAATTAAACTTTCGTATGGAGACAATAGGGAGACCTCGGTATACATGTTGAAAGAGACTGCTAGAAACGATTCTCTCAATATCTATAGAAAGAGACACAAGGATGAAAAGGTATGGAAGAGAATGAACAATGTTATATCTCTGCTGCTACTTGACTTTTCCTTATTTCTTATAAAGACTACACTATTCTTTGTTAAAAACTGAAATAATTTTTCTCTTCTGAGATCTCAATCGTATACCTCTCTAGAGTTTTCAATTTAAATGTATAATTGAATTCTTGCGTTTTTTTTTTAATTATGCGCGACAAGTTAAAATTCTATTAAAGTAATCTCTATGCAAAATGAACTAAAAGACACTGATTTATCATCTATTACCTCTTTCTTGAGTAGTTTAGCTAGCCATAAGTTCTTTATCTACAATCTCTAATTGTTCTAAAAAGATCTATGGATGACTCGACATTTCCGTTGAAAAACTATCAGTTGTAAAATCGCCAAAGAAAAGTCATTGTAAGATAATGTAAAAGTAGGACGGCATGTATAGTGGATAAGAGAATATATATGTATACGTTGGAAAAGGAAGGCAGATATATAAAAAGATAAAAACAATTCGCGTTCATCTTTTTATGGCGTTCGGAAGAAAATGAGAAGCGTTATATAAGAAACGTTTGCACGTAGAAAATGTGTCCCTCACCTAATAACGGATTCAATTACGCGGGTCTGTGTGTAGCACTCGAGCTTACCATGATATACAGCGCAATGTAAAATTTAAAAGTGACACGTACCCCAAGCTACTAACCGCCTCATGACTTGTGGTTTCCGTTTCGGCGTTATGGTGACCATACTAACCGGTTTCGGTCGGAAACGGGACACTTCGTTCTCTCCGGGGAAATGTCTAAAAACGACCTGACGTCGCTCTTACTTCTCCCTGCTTTTTCTCTTCTCTCCCCCCTCTCTCTCTCTCTCTTTATATATTTTATATATATAAACATACATATATCTAGCATTCAAATGTTTTCCTACAAAGTTTACCTTCCGTTTCATGTTAAAAATGCATCTCTCCGTCTGTATTCGTATAATCTTGACTCATTTAACATAATTCATGAGAGAGAAGCGTTCTTCCATATTTTTATTCTTCTAGAGACACCTTATCTTGCGGCACTTAACGTTGTTGCGTCAAGAATAGAACATGATTCATAATTAATTAAAAAAATAATTTTTATTTCTTATTAATTTGCACTTATATATTTACATATTAATATAAATGACAAAGCAGCATTAAATACTGCATATATGTGATATTATATTAATATTACACGTCGGGTCTGAAATCGGTGCCAAGCGGATGTATAACGTGCAATTCACTTAAAAATTGTATAAGAATAAAAGCAAAGTAGATGGAATATAAAAGGCCGCCATATGAACGGCGTGCGATAGTTCCTGTAATGTTGAGATAAATGATGGTAGCCACTAGTGAACACAGGAGGAAAGCTAGGCAACCGGGTGCCATATCACTGATCCTGATCTTCGTGTGTTGTTCAGGATCGGCAGCGCTGGCAATACCATAAGTCAGCCCTAGTCCCAGCAGAGTGTTAAACATCGGTCCGCCAAAGCAAGCTGCATATCCCATACGAGGAAATCCTCGTCTGGCGATAGCGACATTCGATATCAGATCTGGACAAAATTTCGAATTATCTTGTATGGATTCTTATGGAAAAATATCGAATTCTTATTCAGAGAGATACAAATTTAATACAAATTTAATTTCATAATAATTCTGAAAAATGCGCAACGTTACATTATCCGATTCATATTGAAAATTTAATCCGAGAGTGTACAATTTTTGTTTAGCGAATTGTACGGTTTTGATTTATTCTATCTTCACAAAAGTACTTTTGGTAACAAGAAGCATTTTTCAACACGACTCACCCCCGATACTGTTTCCCCATGCAAGAAAAGTGATACCCAGCATGGCGTCAGATATGCTACATGCGTATCCTATGCATTGGAGTACCGCCATGATCTCTCCGGCCACTAAATAAACCGTCAACATAGCAGCGAAAAATCCCAAAAATGCAAAGATCTAGAATTAAACGTGTTTCATTATTAGTACAATTTCTAATCTCTTCCTCGCATTTTTATGAGACTTATTATAAGCACTTATTAAACTTTTGATTATACTCTTGTGCAAAAAGGAAAGAACAAGTACTCACATTATGAAATTTTGGTACACGGTTCACGTGAGTCGTTAGAAACACAATTACACCAATTACGGTGCCGACAACGAGGAATATCAGCACTATCGGCACATTGCCAAAAGTCGTTTGCCAAACTGCAATAAAACAGTTAAAATGAAATTGAAGTTGAGTGGTACAGATTGTGTTATATGCATTGATTGTCGATACAATCATTATGCGTTATTGACTATCCGTCCGGATTTCGCATCTATCATATTTTGCAATAAACCGCGTTCTAAAAAAAAACACTTGTATGATATTTTTAGACTGATTCTATATTATATATACAATAGAAGAAGGAAATATCACAGAAAGCAATAAATAGCGTCTTTAATATTTTTCCTATATATAATAAAAAATATAGATTTTTATCACATATAACTTTATTTTCAATAAAAAGTTTATAGAAAATATAACACTTTCTATTGAGTTAAAATATTTTTCGAAAATTTATATTGTTAAATATAAAAAAATCGTTTTTGTTATTAGCGATACGCGCGATTGTATTATGAAGTTTGAAAATGAATGAGACGTACCATCTAATAAAAATAATATTATTGTAGGTGTTACACACAACTGAAAGCAATTCAATAGCTTTGACCAGCCTCTTTTCTCAACAGTAGGATTTACAACTGGTATAAAGATTTGCAATAACAACATGACGGGCGAACGTATAATCAAAATGATCTTAAGCAATCTACTCGATTTCTTCCAATCTTCTTTGCTGATCGGATTGATATCGTACAAAAATTCTGTGAAAAGACCTATTGGTCGGTCAGAAACGTAGTCGCTAATTTCCGGGCTTAACTGGACGAGATTGCCTCGTAGTTTCGATCTTTCTATTTCCGTTATGACGGCAATATCTGATTAAAACAAATATACAAATATGTATAAAAACATTAAATCATATATAAAAATTATATAACAAGAATAAAATAAGTTTATAAGATTTAACAAATTTTTGCTTTTTAAAATATATAGAAATATACATTCAAATATGTGCAAGCTGTGAGATAAATACGCAATTATTTATAATGAAAATGTATGATTAATATATATATATATATATATACTTTGTGACAACAAATTCTACATTTTCTACATTTAACTCTTTCTTTTGAAGAAATAATAATTTTAGAAAGGAAATATGCAAGAATAGAGATACATACGTTTTATTTAATGTAAAAAGAACGCATGGTTCTGCGAAAGATAAAAGATTGAAAAACTATTTAAAAAATTCAAAAGAACCAAAGACATGGATATGTGCGATGAGTCGTAAAAATGACGCTTGGTACCTAGTTTGGCACGCAAGCCAAAAGGTCGGCTTTTAGCGGGAATCTTGGGAATGGTGCTTGTGTCTCTGTTCGCCAAGTAAGTATGCAGGACGTCTGGATCAGGTACACTTGGGATCCTAGCTGAAAGTACATAAGAATGTTCTCGGGAAAAGGGATCGATACTTAGTATGGAGAAAATTTTCTATAGGCGATAAAGAAGAAGAGGAAGAAATAGAAAACAGAAGCTAGTCATTTCTTTTTTATATTTTTATAGCGAATTTAAAAGTCATGAAAAAGTTTCTTATTATGGATTCAAAATAGTTCTTGCGTATGGATTATAAAATTTTATAGAGATATCCTTAAGAATATATTTCTTTAGTAAATTAGAAGTTTCTAAATGCGAGTATAATTTTATTTGTATTTTTTGAAACTATTAGCTTATCACTTAAAATTCTTAAATAAGATGCTAAAAATTCACGAATAATTCGTCGATATAAATCAGGAATCTGCAATATTATATACTTTTCAGATGTTCCTCTTTGGTCTCACATATTTGCATTATTATGACCACGACGATGAATGACATGTAAACCAGAAGAAAACCTGCAATTAAAATAAACATTAAGAAGTCCTAATATCTCTTGATAAGATAATTTCTTGCATATATTATTAATAAAACTGGGATAAATGGTTTGCATACACGACATGCAAAAAGCTTAGGTGCATTTTCTTCTTAATTGAAGAAAAAAAATCTTAATTATTCCTTTTTCTCTAATTCGAATGAAAAAGATATATTGTTGAGGAGAAAATTCCTTCCAAGAGTTTTTAATGAAGCAAGTAATAAGTGAATGCGCATACCAAATACAAGTTGTCTGTTCCCTGCACAAAATGTGCTTATTTATATGCATATACATAACTATATTAAAATCGGTTCTGCTCGGAAGAATTACAAAGCATCTAGACGAGTAAAATTGAATTTCTGTCTGTTTACAATACTATTATACGTTCTGCGATATGAAGAAGATGAATCAGGATATTCGACGGCTTTAGCGACGTAGCGTAACAATAACCTCCACCAATGGCGCTTTACACGGGCGCACAATTATTTCTCCGGACTTTATCCGTTGCAACAATAATCCCTGCTTTCCCGGTGAAACGGATTCCTTGCCGCGGAATCCCGCAAAAATTCATCGACAGTCAGATTGCAAGCCCAGCCGGCAGGTTGTGGAGAGAGAGACTGCGGCGTAGCTTAATTAAATTCGCTGAAGAATTATTGTTATTCCGGAATGAAACCACTTATGGCTTCCCGCAGTTAAACTTCCTCTTTCATTATGATGTGTTTGATTTGCCGTGCGAAATATCGATAAAATGCCAAATATCTTAATTATTTATATATACTATATGTGTATAATAAAATTAATATCACATTTTAATCATTTCACTTAGCAATTACGTCAATATTTGAATGCTCGATTGAAATAACAAATAAAATTATATCGCTATATGCGTATATATAAATATAAATGTATATTACAATATGTGTATAATGTTTTTTCACTCTCATTTATTACTAGCTAGAAAAAATTGCCAAAGTTAGATTCGCTGAAATTATTTTATTTATTTGAGAATCAATCACTTTACCTATATATATTTAATTATATATTTGGCACGGAACAAAATTATCAAAATTACATATGTATATTTACTCTACTTGGATATTCAACTATAAAGCAATATTAGCCTTCGAGTGCGAATAATAATTAATCATTTTTATATAAATATTTTCTCTCATATAATAATCAGTAATTGTAAAATACGATATAAAAAAGACATTTTATAATATTGAAATACTTCTTTCATGTATAATTTTTTCCGATTATGCTCGTTATAATCTTATATTTGTTACAAACGAGTCGTTGTAAAAATACGAAGTGAAAAAAAGAGAAAAAATATATTTTTTGCCGTATTCATGAACGAAATAATCGACTCATGTGTAAAAAATATAATATACGAAATGAATAAGGAAAAGTCAATTAATATTGCTTTATTGAATTTGAATAAAAATAATAAGACGTACTTACGGCTTCCCAGAGGTAAACTATTTCATCCCATACTACGTAACTAATCCAGCACACGGAAACGATATAAAAACAGGCATCTCTCATGAGAGATTTGAGTGAAACTTTAAAGGGTTTAATTATCGCCACGGAACCGGCGATCATCGAGGTCACGAAGACACCCGCTCCGATTAATTCGGTGAACATTATTATCGCTCCGTCGCCTCTCGACACGAGGGACGTGAAGATGTCAGGCGCGCCGTTTCCGAATGCCAATATCGTCACCCCAGCTATGTTATCCGATAGATGCATTACACTGGCTATTACCGCCAGTGCTGGACAAAAACTGAAATCAAAATATCGTATAACGATTAATTCACAATGTTTATACATATCTAACACCGTTTCAATATTTATGTTATAAGATTGAAGAAAAATTTATGGAAAAGTATTTTAATTGTAATATGAAAAGTTTTATAACTGTAAAGAATGGTCTTCATGGACTCTCGAATTTAATTTCTGTAGTAAATTAAATTAGTTTAAATTAGTTTAAAATTTTTTCAATTTTCTTACTTTTAATTAAAATTCTTAACTTTTAATTTAAAATAATATATTTTTCTTCTAATATATATATATATATATATATATATATATTACACAAATATTTATAAAAAGCAACATTTTATTTTGGTAATATAAAACTTCATTTAAAATTTAAAGAAATATCAATATTTGCATTCATTGGTATAACGACTTTTTAATAAAGCATAAAATACGCCAAGTATTTAGCTTGAAAAGGAAGCAACTTTTAAATAATATTTATCTGAGAAGCGCATCATTAAATTAATATCGTTATTTAGCCTTTGATATTTTACTATATACGGAAAACGTTATTTATACAGAAAAATCAATTTAGTATCTGAATTCATTATTTATTAATTATTATATTCGATATAGATCAAAGCTAAGTTTCAACAAACTTTACGATAGCACGGTTGCATTTATTTATCATTAAGCGCAGAAAAATAAATATGACGAAACTACTTAGCGATTTTTAAAAGTACCAGAAATTTAGATGATGGTCGCGTCAGCGTAAAAGCAAGAGCGTGGTATCGAATATAAATATGGCGGATAAAAGTTTGATAAAACTCGCATTATAAACTTATATAATATGTTCCTTATATATTATAGAATACGTGTTGATTTTGATAACTGAAGCACAATGTTGTATAAAGTTTTATAGAAAAATGTATATGACTTATTTTAGAAAACTATATTAAATATAGTAAAACAACGATATTTTCCCATCAATATAGTAGCAGTTATAAATATCAAAAACCTACGACTAAAAAAAATCTCAATTTTTTGGGACTTCGAGACCCCACATTATTGAATGCATGGCAATCTGCCATATTTCCTTGATATTTGTATAACTTGAAAGAGTAAGGGAACCCTTCGTTTATCATTTTGAAAGAAACCACTTCGTAGAATGTAGACTGTTGAAATACGAGGAAGCATGAATCTTTCGATTATTGGTTTGGTTACTTGCCAAAGTCTAAATTTGTGTTGTAGCTACGTAATCATCTACATGTAGATGGTAACACACGTTTTCATCAAAATTGAACTTGGCCAAAGTTCTCAATTTTGTATCAAGAAAAGGTGTAATTTTATTATCCCTGCTTACGTTGTATTTGCATAATCTGCATTTATACCAAATGAATTCTTTAATAAACAATATTATTCTTTCACATATATATATATATATATATATATATATTTATCCGCGCTTAATTTTTATTAATAAATTTGCACCGTATTAAAATATATGGTATTAAATATAAAATATATAATTTATTCAGAAATTGAATAAATTTGATAAATACTGATAATTATCAATTTTTAATAAAAAATTGAAATTGATATATAATTATTTCCGGCTATAATTACCAAAATGAATCAACTTACAAGTTATCTGCCGTGGATCCTAAAACCAAGAATAAATAAATTAGAAATAAAAGTACGAGGACCAAGCCGCTAATAAACAGGTATGCCTCTTCGGATTTGAAATAGCAAAACAACAATATCGTGTACTGAATCATCGAATCTGAGTAGCAGTCTTCAGTATTCCTCACCCATTCGCAACGTTCCGCGGCGGAAACTTTCCAAACGTACGAGCAATCATCCTGAAAAAAGATTTGACGAAGAACTCGACGAGACGCGCAAACTGGAAGAGACGTCGATAACAATTTACCTCTCGTATAGGCAGATGCCCGTGTCTTAAAAAGGAGCTCGATATTTGCGACCTCATGTTCGAAAAAGCATAAAAGCGCAACGAAGCGATATGTAACCTATATTTTGTATATTTGCCTTTTACGGATCCGCTCGATCGTTGCCTATTCAAGCAGAAGCGAGCAAAACTTCAAGCGATACAGACAGAATGCTGTCACATACGTAGTGTACCTATACTATTCGCACAGTTTGAAACATAAATTCAATACGATGCACACATAAAGGGAATTCTTGACAATGACATACACGTAAAAAGTAGCACATTTTGTATATTGATCAATTCAGAGAAATAATGAATACGACGAAGAACAATATATTAAATACAATAAAGAACATTGTGTAAATGTATACTAAATCAGATCATATGCAGTCTTCGGCGATACATTCATTTATTTTATTAGATAAAAATGTTGACAATACAACACATTTCTTCTTGTTAACAAAAAAAAATTATACAGCTTTTCTCGACTACAGAAGTGCGCGCACTCAAGAATGTCGTTGCTCGACAACACTTATCCACACTAGTCTGAAGACAACTAAAGGCTCATTAGACATGGAGCATTTCTCCAGCCGTTCCGCCCCATTTCTGTCTATAATGAGGTGATGAAAAAAAAAACCGTCCAGGTAACAAGCACACGGAAGAAAACCTCTCGCAGCAAACGGTTACGCTGTCATCCAACGCGCGATATTATATCGACACTTATTCGATATTATTGTCAGCTTACGATAATGAAAATTCAATGATGTGTCGCAAGCCGGCGACGCCAATTCGTTAAATCCATTATTGCCAACTCAAAAGTTTCACGGTTTTATCAGTTTTATGAAAGAATATTCCACAAAGATAGAGAGAACATTTGCGCAGAACAATGTGAAAACTATTTCTCTTAAAAAGCTTGGTAGAAATTAATTGAATAGATAAAATAACAATATTGTTATTACGTAACACACATTGTGCTCCTCTTTCAAAATCTAAAATATTAAATGGAATTTTCGCACAATGGGTACGTTTCTCATTAAAATATATATTAAACTAGAAATATGTGCCAATAATTTTGCGTTTTCCAATATTTTATCAAATATTCACAAAGTCAACTTTTAGCTCTGTAAAATTTACATTAAACGATTTATGTATTGACATAATTATATGAAAACGTTTTGTATTGTGAATATTAGAAATGTTAAAACTAATTTAAAAATTAAATATGATTTAAATCGCTCTTCAAGCTAAAAATAATGCTGAAAATCAGACTAGATAACTAGTGTGTTTTAGCATTAACGAGAAACCTTAGCTTTATAAATCTTGCTTATCAGATATACGCAACGAGTTCGCAAAAACGATAAATCAACTGGGTTGGATAAGACTCGAATAGTGTGATAAGAACCATAATAAATTAGGTTTACAAGAGATTTGTTATTTTAGCATAAAATTGCATGGGGCACTTTAACGAATACTTGACTGCGTAAATTATTCTGAAGAAAAATCATGGCGGAATCTGCGCTCTGACGTCTATCAGTCTATCTCCTATTGTTGCGTACTTTTTAACAATGTTCCATTAAGCCCACCTTTCAACAGCAGCGTACTTCACCGTAATTGCCAACTTCAGCAAATTGTCATTTATCGCCAGACTTCTTTTGTGCTGCTTTTCGCTCTAAACACTTTATTGAATTGCATTCACAGGGCACAAAGGAGCCAACGGCTTTACCCCAATTTATATTGCGCTTTTATTCTCCCTACGCGAGAGCCGAGCGTACTCGCTTGGCTTTTCCGGTTTCCTGTTTTGGCTCGCTCTCGCTCTCTCTCTTTGTCTCTCTCTCTCTCTGTACCGCCTGCACACATTTATAATAAAGTGTGTGAGTGATATAAGGCTGGAATATGCAAAAGCTTCTTTCCGTAGTATAAGACGACTCTTACAATTAATGTAATGGCACGTCGGCATTGTGTTGTTGAAACCGAGTATGTACTGGTGTACACACTCGGTTATGCTCGAGCCGCTTTTGCCGTGTGTTTTGAAGAATAATTCATACCAGAGTTAAAACAAAAGCTCGTTGTAAATGTTAAAATAACGAAGCAATTTATTTTAATTAAACTGACTGCTTCGTAAAGACAACGAAATTTTTTCTATGAATCTATATGAGTGTAATTTCTCATAAAAGTTTATTTTTCTACAAAAAAAAGTTTTCCTGTAAAAATGGATTTTACTTTTATACTAAGCATATATGTTTATACAATAAAATAGCAGTTTTATTTAATATTATTCCCGATTTAAAAAATGAATAAATCGAGTTTTGATATTTTTATTAATTGTACTATATATTTTGCTTTGTTCGAACATTATACATATATGTACATATGTATATGGGATAAAAACTAAAATTAGAGGGATGCATTGCATGCATCGGTTTAAAGAAATTTAATCGTATTATTAATTTTGTGGCGAAAATATATTATTCAATTTGATATCAAAACATTCTACTGAAAAATTATTAAATTTACATTAAAATTTAAAACACAATTTTCAATAATTTTGTTTTAAAGAGGGCGATGTCATTTTTTCCACTTTATAATTGTATGAAAAATTATTCTTCTCGGCTATATTTATCATATTAAATTATGTTAAAATATATTAGGATTGTGAATAACGAGAGAAAAATTCCATTTAATTCGAAATTACGGCCATTCATCTGACAATTATTGACAGGCTTCGAATAACTTGTTGCAACAGATGTTTGATCAGTTTTGTCTACTTATTGAAACAGATGCTTCTGACAGGTGTCTATGATATCGATATCTCTTTACCCTCTTATTGATTAGATTAGAATCGTTAACATTTCAATTATATCACAGTTGATATATACAGAAAATCGAGCATAATATAAAAAATTCTAATAAAAATTTATAACAATTTCGAAAATTATAAGCGCAAAAAGTAAAATATTCTCTGCAGTAGAGAAATCTTGATTTTTGTAGATAAAAATTTCTTATTCAATAAAATAGTTCGATAATCTTTTATGTGAGAATCCGTCGGGAATCGAACTGCAACAGTCTTTTCTTCACACAAAGTAGGCCATAGTCAAGAACTGATCGACTAGAAGAGACATTTCTAAGATCAGCACCCCACAGTAAATCGCTTCCTGCGTCCAAAGCAGCCCTCCATGAGTGATGAAGAGTCGCGCATTCGATTTCAAACATTTTATATGATAAGAGGGTACTTATTATCTTTGTTCACGGTATACATTTACATCATATTATAAAGAAGCCACAAGCAGAGATTGAAGTAAACTTCATTTTTATAGATAAAAATAAGTTACAAATTTTGCAATTTTTTATTTATTTAAAATTAATTCTTTATAGTTTGATTTTTTCTCTCTAATTTGAAATTTTATCTTTAAAATATTATTTTATAATTAATTAAAAACTTAAATAATTTTTTTTTCAATTCTTTATTTTAAAATAGAAAACATTGTAAATAACAATTCTGACTTTTGGATAGTGAATTTAAAATTTACACACAAAAACGAAACCGTAACAGCGGATAAAACGAGGTAATAACGATAACGAGCTTGATTGCATAATATAGCGAAAATGGAATTTTATGAAAAACGTTGGTCACGCGCCGGTGGTTTAGAGGAAAAACGGGCGAATACCTGAAAATAATTGTTCTCTTCACGTGTACATGCGGACGGCACTTTCATAAAAAGCAGTGCGTATCACATGTATTTGTACATGAATGTAGGTATAATATCATAGTATGAATTTTACACACTGGATGCATTATTAATTCTCTCCACTTCTGCTTTAGATATTATCGGATCAGATGCATTCTAAATAATTGCGCACATTATGACTCAGAATGTTGTTATGTCTGACAATTTGAAATTTTTTTAAATGTAATAATATATGTTACATATATGGTATAGTTGGAAAGAAATGACACGCACACAATATCAAATAAAATAAATACGAATCAGATTATTTAACTAAGAACCTAATAATCATGATGAGCGAATAAAAATTCAAAAATTTCTTATTTAGGAATGAAAAATTATTCCGCATAATACGAATATGTATTTTGTATTGTATTTTTAATAATTAAATAATTATATTTAAATTATAAATATTTATATTTAACATATAAGTTTTTAAACAATTTGCGCCAATTTCTTCTTCATCTTATTTTCGATTCACCTAATGTTCTTATCAGATCTTACATATATTTTGACAAACAGTGCGTATTATTCTTTACATTGTATTAATAACAAACGGTAAATTTATAATAGGCATTAAAAGCCGTTCAATATTCGTGCAAATTGACCTACGGATTATTTAACGATAATGCAAACTTCAAATGGGTTTTATATGATCGCTGGATAATGATATTGCAATGAATAAATGATTTATGCTTCACAGTACGGCAATATGCATTATTCCCTCTGCGTGCAGGCAGTGTATCGGGTAGATTTGTCGCTACCAAACACACAATGGTTGATAGGGACTGGAAAGAATGAAAATTATTAAAACCCTCTGCCTAAATTAGAACAGAAATTACTACTTTCAAATTATCAATTTTCCAAAGTAAATATATTTATAATTAATTATTATTTTAATTAAATTTAACTTTGATAATTATTCAATTAATTATATCTTCGATTGCATTTATTCTAATCATTGCTATGCTACATTTATATCAGCACAGATAATTTTAAGATATCAGATTTGTGATTTTATTAAAATAATCGAGGATTGATACTTTAATTGTCAAATTTTTATATCATACGTACATGTGTAATAACGGAGAAGGAATCAAAGGGCTTGAAAACTTTTTTAATCGTTTCCGGCATGTTCAATCGACATCCACTCTATTATCAAGAACTTCTCTTGTTCGGTATACCTGCTACGAGAAGAGTGTTCTTTCCGTGACCTTCTCGCGGATAAGCTTCTTTCGACATTTAATCCCGCCCAGAAAAGAGAAAAAAATAAAAAGCAGTACGTACACAATACAGAGAGCTGCGGCGCTCATT